AGGCTGAAATTTATTTCTGTAATGAATTTCAACATAAATCCTGTTTGTTAGGTTTTTGTACTCCCTCACCAGTACATCAAACAATTTGAGTTAGGAATTCATTGTTCAGTATTTGTACACTTGGACAAATATGTAAATGCAAAGATGTCTATTAAATATTGTTCATAATTTTCAAAAAAACAAAAATAACATAAATGCCTAAAAATAGAATTGAGTAAATCAGTATTTTAATGGAATACTAGATAGCTGGTAAAAAGAATATGGCCAGTCTATATTTATAGGCATAGAACAATATCTTGAATGTCTGTTAAATGAAAAAAAAGTAGTGAATGATATCTATAGTATCATTGCATTTATGTTTTTATGAAGTATATACATATGTACATTTGTTTATAAATAAAATCTAGAAGGATATATCCCAGCTGTTAACAGTTGTAGACAACAGTTCAAATTTGTATGATTGGTGAATCATTTAAATAAGCCTATATTGCTTTCCTAATAAAATAATAATTTCCCCCCAATAGTATTTTCCTCTCAGGTCTCCAGGATGCAGCTTATAGTTGGTAGGAAAGAAGAGAGAGAGAGAGAGAGAGAGAGAGAAAGATAATTAAATATATAGGTTTATGGGGCCATTCAAAAGATTTCCAGCATAACTAGATATAGATACCAAAGGAACGTTATCTTTTTATCCATCACTTAACCATTGTTTATCTTCTGGGTTGACCTTATTCTTTTTTTTTTTCTTTTTAACTAGGCAAACATCTTAGGATATATTTAACATCTTAAGTAATTAAAGAAATATAAGATGAAACAGATTGTGTTAGTATTATGTTTTTAATGATTTAAATAGATTTTTAAAAGCATATATTGTGCTCCAGTCAGTCTGCTAAGGTTAAGTGGTTCTCAAACATAGTGAAACATCTGGAAAACTTAAAAAAACAAAACAAACAAAAAACTGGTGCCTGGTACCCCATTCTAGAACAGCTGAATTAGAATGTTTCATACACATTAATCAGTTATCTATCACCATAGCCTTCTGAGGAACCCCAGGTTTTACAAATAGACAACATTAAATAACTTGCCCAGGGACTGACACAGAGCAATTTGAATTCTCAGCAAACTTGTAGGACCATGCTATTCCTGCTTGCTTGGCTACTGTGTTGAAATCAACTCATATTCTGTCTATCCAGAGCTGATTATAATGTTGGGAGTTGTAAAGCAAGTTAGCATGGAAACATAACCTCCACTTTAGATAAGGCCTTTATTTCATCCAGCAGTCACTTGGAATTCATATCCTTGTTTATTTGTTTATGATGGTCTATCCCTTTTTTTGATCCTCAGCTTGATCTTTTTTGGAGGGGAAATAGGAGAATAAGTAGTTCTTTTAGTTGTGTCTTCATGTCCCAGAAGTATGCTGTCCTTGCTCTGTTCCCCTGTCTGGAGCTGTCCCCTGTGCCTCTTGCCTCCTCTTTCCCCAAATGCTCAGATTATCTTGACCTTGAGTTGCCTATTCAGAGTGATGACAGCTCTCTAGTCTTTCAAGATTCAGTTCAATAATCACATCTATGATGAAACTTTGGTTTAAGAAGCAAGAATCACAAAACTCTAGAAAGACTTTATCCCCCTCCTCATATATATTACTTAGTTTTATGGGTATCTGTCTCCTCACATCTGATTGTGAGTTCTTGGCCTAAAGGAACTATTTAGTTCATACTCTTGTGCTATATCATTTGCTGTAGAAATGCTTTTAGGAAACAGTTAAGTGAGTGAAAAGAGGAGGAGAGGTGGGTTTATGAGAAAAGCCTGCATTTTACCTGTCTACTTTTCTAGCAGTGAGGAGTTATATCTGCATTTTTAACGTTACGTGTATTGATGAAGGACTTAGTCCTGGAATAAAGCCAAAATAATTAATTCCCGGTCCTCTAGTTTTCTCTGCTAATTTTGCCTTTAAAAAACTTTTTTTTTTTTTAATTTGGTGACATCTTAGGAACAGAAGGGCAAGCCTGGAAGTGATATAGCTACAGGGAGGTGTGTATATGTGTGTTTTTGGTGGAGGGAGGAGTTGAAGCTACTGTCTGAAATAAAATTTTGTAATTGTTCAGGGATTTCATTGGTCATGGTAGTTTTCCTGGCTGTAAAATACTTCTCATTTAGCCCTAGCTGTCAAGTATTAAAACACATTAAAAAAAATCCTTATGACTCAGTATTTATTCAAATAGTGTACATTTTAGTACAGTTCCATTGTTTTAAAATGTAACTCTTGCATATTTCTTTTAGAGACATTTCTAATCAATCATTGGTTGGTATTATTAATGGAGCAATTTTCCTTCAACTACCGTTATTTCTTTTATCTGGGTACCATATAGGAAGCCTGCTGATTTTAAAAAACCTGTTCTTAGATTTTCTTACATCATCTAAAAGTAGTTTTTAGTTGATTGTTTCAGTGTTTTAGGTATAATAATAGCATTTACACCATACTGTTCTTCCTTTCCTGAAAGAATTACCGTTATAAAAGTTTCCTGGTTTACTCTTTAGTCCAGATTCAGAATAATGCTAAATAATAACAGTAAAAAAAAAAGTCATTATTGCGTGAATATTATTTTAAAGGAATTACCTCTTGGAGGAGATATACCTTAAGTCTGATAGTGGCTATTTAATTAAGACTCATGCCATGTTTTTAAATGATTTGGTTTCTTTTTGTTATATCTGGTTAATATTTTCTAATTTACATTTTATTATAATCAGACTGGCCAGTATAATATCCACATGTTAGAATTAAATGAGGTTTTCTTTGTGAACTATTTTACAACCAGTTATAGGTATTCACAGAAGATTGAAAGGAGGGCATAGTTTCTGTAAGCTCACAATTTTTGTTTGTCTTAGTCAGCTTTATTAATTATATAATTTCTAATTAACTTTAGTTGAAGTTCGATTGAAGTGGTAAAGACACACAGTAGTTGATTTTGTTGCTGTTAGCGCATAAAGTTTCATTTTCTTTTTCAAGACTGTGTAATAGTTGGTACTGTATACTTTTATCAGGAGTTGCATTAACCAGTGGTTCTCTCTTTTTCTGAAGTTAGTAGCCATCCTACATCTATTAGAGATTGAGCAAAATGATGATAGCTTTTATTCTTTATGAATATAGTGCAGTTAATTATTGTGATTCCTGCTCTCATTTTTGGCTAGTGAGAACCATGCAACCTGACTCCTTTGCTCTTTTAAATAGGACTTTAGTAATCATTGATAAAGGATTTTTTAATTAAGGTAATAGTAGGCATGTGGAAATATTGATTACCTAATTTTAAACATTGTATAACAGAAGCTGATGTGAAATGTTTTTACCTGTTAATTTTAACTATTATAACTGACTTTAGAAAAGTTTGAATAGATAAAGGCATATAAAAAAACATGAAAGTCACTCCGTTTTACCCAGAGGTAACATTTTATGGTGTTTGCTTTATCTTTTAATCTAATGCATGATTGTGTCTTCTATTTAATTGCATATTGTGTTTGTTTTGAATCCTGGTTTCTTATATGATACTCCATTTCACATCCAATAAAAGTTCTTTGAAAACAATTTAAAATGACTACATTGTAGTCTAAAGGCATAAACTACAAGTTAACAAACTATTCTCTTATTTCAGGCTTTTTCGTCCACCCCCTACCCCAGCAAATTTTTATTATTGCAAATGTGCATTGAGAGTTTTTGGTATTTTGATTTGAAATTGTTCATTTTTATTTGGGACATATTGCTGGATGTGGGTTTTTTTTTTAATGATCCATAAATACTTTTAAGTACTTTCAATGATAATAGTTAAAATCTGGTTTTTAAAATTTCAAGCTAACGTTTCCATTTTTTTGGTCTCATAAATAGGACTACACTAAATAAAACATTTACTCAAGATTAGATATCACTGCCAAATGTCTTATATGTTTTTAGTAAAGGCTTAATGCTGCTCTGAAATGATGTTAATTTTACTTTATTGATGGATATATTTAGAACCTTAGAAACCCAGTGATCGCCTTGAAGAAAAATAACTGATGAAAGACAGAGCTTTTATTGAAAACCTGTATTTTTAGCCTCTAGCCAAACTTTAATTCTTAGTTCATTTCCATAGTGCTGTATATGATTTTGTATTTTACTTTAAATTTTCTTGCAATGTATAGTAACTTATATTTAGAATATTTGGTAGAAACAAATCTTGACAGTATTGTGTGTTTGATTAAATAATTACTGTTCCAGGTATGCCACTGTCTTTCTTTACTTGAGAGTAAAAATTAACGCATTTTATTAATACACTATAAGACTGTGAGGAGGAATCAGTTGAAAAGTGCTTTGTATTTTACTGGGGTTTTTTTTGCCCTTGTGGGAGGATGGAACATAATGACTTGTCATCTATATATTTTGAATACTTTAGAAATATCCTATTCAAAAGTTCAATCGTGACTGTTGCCAAGGTTTTCAAGTATTTTAAGACATCTAATAGTAATTTTTAGTACTAAAATTTAATGTGAAAATTAATTGGAAAAAAGAAATGGACTGTCTTTAATATGGTCTGAAGTACAATTTTTGAACATAAAAATACAGAAAAGCCAACTGGAATAGTTTTTAAAAATAGAGACTCTTAGTCTCCACTCTCAATAATTTTCAAATTTTTCTTTTTTTAGAAAAACAGCTTTATTGCATTTAATACTCCAGTATTTTTGATGGACTAGTATTTTGATGGAGCCCAGGAATGTGCATTTTAAATGGTCTGTTGTCTCATAGACATTTACTAGGTAATGTCAAGCAGTTTTTCCAGAGTGGCTGTACCACTTTATACACTCACCAGCAGCAGCATATGAAAGGTCTGGTTCCTCCACATTCTCACCAAAACTGGGTATTGTTAGGCTTTTTAATTTTAGTCAGCCTGGTGATGTGAGGTTTTAATTTGCTTTTACTGGTAAAAATGATGTTGAGTATCTTTTCATATGCTTATCAGTCATCTGAATGTGGTCTTTTCAGAAGTGTCTACTTGAGTCTTTTGCTCATTTTGTATTCAATTTTGTCTTACTGATTTGAAGGAGTTCTTATGTAATTTGGATGAGTACTTTGTCAGATGGATGTATGTATTCCAAATATCTGATTAGGCTTTTCACTTTTAATAGTGTTTTGTTATGAATAGAAGTTCCTGATTTTAATGAAGACTAGTTATTAATTTTCTTCTTCTAGTACTTTTTGTGCTCTTCAGAAGACAAAATGCTGAGACAAGAATCACTTTCTGGTTTGTAGGAACTATTTGCTTTTGACAGGGGAAGTGAATTGCTCAGTAATCCCCCTGAAACCTCCAGTTTTGTCAGCAGTTCTGCACTCCTCTGAGAATCCCCTTGTTGGTCTTTTCTTTTCACAGTATGAAATTTTGGACCCTGTGAATTTTATGTCCCTGATGTCTACACAGTTGTCTCGATACTATAGGAAAAGTGATGGGCTTGTAGGTAAATTATTTCAACGGCTTAGAGCAGTATTTCTATAGTTTTTCCACAGAAGTCATCTTAGCCATGGGGGAGAGTAAGTGAATAACCCGAGGGGCGTTTGGAGCCCTGTCAAGGCCTGAAGTAGCTACTAAGAGCAAGAGATGCTGCTTTGGACTCTTTTCTGTTTTACCTTAAAAGTGCGTGCTTTTTTTTTTTCAGGGATTTGGTTTGTTTTCATTTGAAGGTAGCATTTAAATGATCCTAGCTTTTACTCTTAACTTTTCAGTGAAATTGAGGGAGGCTTTAAGAGGCTGTACCTTGTTGATTTAGGAGCTTGAAGTACCTCTGGAAGCCCTGGGCTTAGTGTCTCTATGTACTGTCTTCATTAATCCATTTGCATTACTAGTCCAAGGTGGTTAAGAAACTTTCATAGTAATTACTGACAGAGGCAAAACAGTGTCTCAGGTCTCATTCATTGCTTCCACCCATACTGTTTGGTTACATAGTACTAAGGTGAAATCATGGAGTTATACCTTGAAAGGACAGAAGAGAACTGAATAAATACACAACAGCCTGAGAAAATAAAAAAAAGAGTGCTCTTAAAGGATCAAGAATTTTAAGGATTTTCTGAAAAAGGAAAAGCAGTTAGGTATTCTAATTTTAGAAGTTATGCATAAGTTTAATTTGATCTTAGCTATTGGGGAGGTACTAAATACAATATAAGAAATATTAATGGTGTATTTTCTGTTGATTTATGCATTTGTCTGTAAAATGGTCTTCCTCAGAAGTTTATGATTTCAAGTATCCAGTAATTTATTCTAAGTAAGTTTTGGTTCCTTAAGTTTTAGTTACTTCTGAATCCTTACATGTGCCATGATTTGGTCATTCCTGCTTTTGGGGACACTTTTTCCTTAAATTTGCTTACTGTTGAAGCTTTTGATTACATTGATTCTCTTAAGTTAAAAAATGGAAAATGTATAATTTTGAGATAAAATACTGTGCTATTTTTAGTAGTAACTTAATTTTAATTAGTTACGAGTTAACTTAGAAACATAGTACAAATTATGTAACTTGCTGTATTGTTTCAGGATTCTCAGTAAGCGTTCATAAAAAATTCTTGAGGTTAAAACAGTAAAATTCTGTGTCTGTACTCTTGTTCTGTTTTATTTTTTAATTATGTTATGATATGTAGTTACAGCAAGTTTAAGTAGATTGTGACCTTGAATGAGCACTTGCTTAATAAAGGAAACAGTACAGAGGGATTCTTTTCAGGCTACTGTGACCAAAGAATGTCTTTCTTGAACAATGAGTGGATGCAAAATGTTTCACATCAAGGACATTTGAAATTAAGGTGTAACAGTACATATTTTTGATACCCATTGAACAATAGCTCCCTGTCTCTGCTTTCCCAGCCCCTAGCAGCCACCATTCTACTTTTGTGTTTCTATGAGTTTGATTACTTTAGATACTGCACGTAAGTGGAATCATACAGTATTTGACTTTTTATGATTGGCTTATTTCACTTAGCATAATGTCTTCAAGATCCGTCTATGTTTTGGCATATGACAGAATTTCCTTTTTCTTTTTTTGAGGGGTGGGTAATCAGGTTTATTTATTTATTTATTCATTCATTTTTAATGCAGATACTGGGGATTGAATCCAGGACCTTGTGCATGCTAAGCATGTACTCTACCACTGAACTATATCCTCTCCCCTCCCCAAATTTCCTTCTTTTTAAAGGCTGAATAATATTCCATTGTGTGTATATATGTGTGTGTGTGTTACTTCTTTATTCATTCATCTCTTGGTGGACATTTGTTACTTCCACACTTTGTTTATATGAATAATGCTGCAGTGAACATGAATATGTCACCAGAGCTGTTTTTAAAGGCTGCATTGATTTTTGTCTTGCAGATATATTCGACTTTATGGGAGAAAATTTAGCAAAGAAGATCATGTTCTTTTTATCAAATTATTGTATGAGCTGGTATCAATTCCAAAACTGGAAATCAGCATGATACAGGGATTTGCCCGTCTCTTGATCAACTTGTTAAAGTAAGTCAATTTCCTGTGATGTCTGCTGAGATTTTTTTTGGTTTGTTTCTTCAAAGTGTTAGGGAATGAGGTGAGCTAAGTGTTCTTCTTTTTTTTTCCAGTTAGGTACAATTTGACTGCATATATACAATATATTGCACACAAATATGTATATAGAATATACAGCATGAGCTAAGCATTCTTTGGTAAGAAGACCAAGTCCCAAATTACCAGTTTGGAAAAAGATTGCAGAAAACTTAATCATAAGTTTAAACCACATGTGTTAATTAACCTTTTAATTAAAATTGTTTTTCCTTCTTGAAGCCTTCTCTTCTCTGGCACACATTGAACTATATGTTGTCTAATTGTTTCATTTATACTAATTATCTTCCCTTATGTAGTTTGTAAGATCCTTGAGAAGACAGGGATCTTATATTCTTTTGCGTATCGCAGGCACCCAGCACAGTTTGAGAAACATTAAGTACTCCACAGATAGTGTGGGAAAGTGTGAGACTCATCAACAGTAATTGTGACGTAAATTCTAATGCCTTTTTTTTTAACCTGGTGTTCTTAGAAGTTTGGGCAGCAGCAGAACTCTGGTGCATTGTTCTTCCTACTACTATGTTTTGCCAGTGAGTTGCTGAGGATGTGGGGGGAGCAAAACCCACTGTGATGACAGCAGCATTTAACAACTATCCTCCCTGTGCAGTATGTGTAACATACACACCCCTGTGCACACATATACACACATGTATTTACTTTTTCTTTAATTAGGAAAAAGGAACTGCTTTCAAGAGATGATTTGGAGTTACCTTGGAGACCACTTTATGACATGGTGGAAAGAATATTATATTCCAAGACAGAGCACCTGGGATTAAATTGGTTTCCTAAGTAAGTATTTCCGTGTAAAATTCTTTAGGGGGAGCACTTTTAGGAGCTTTTAGGAGTTTGATCATAATTGAGAAATATTGGGTTGAAATAAGCAAGTAAATACACATTTTAATGTGCACACTTCTTTGTAACTTGTCTCCTAAAGCAATTTATTGCTCTCTTTAAACTGTATCTGAAGCTGCAGTTAAGAATTTCCCACCCACTTATCTCTAACAGCAAACTTCACCATGCTGACCAAAGAAAGCAAGAGATTTTTGTTTGGAACCTAGTATTTTGTTAAAAGTAATGCACATTTGGCATTCTTCGTAATATATCCACTTGCGTTTTAATTCTTCAAGTAAAATAAATGCTTCAAGAAGAGGAACTTTGCCTATTCTGGGGGCACCCACATCCCAGAGGGCACATACTCCCAGTTTCAGTGACTGACTGTTCTTGGAGTGCAGACTATTGAAATCCACGGTCCTTGGTTTATGTTGTTTCCTAGTAATGTTTAGACATACTGAGATTATAAGTCTCTGGCTCTTTATGGTTTCTTCTTGTGCATACATCCTCATTCTTCCAGATCTCTAATTTTGGTACATTTTGTATTTTATTCTGAATTTATAGAGTACAGTGGCGATCTGTCTTTTTGATGAATAATGATTTTAGACTTGACTGCAAAGTATCATTTTTCCGTGTTAACAAGGTTTGTCCAGTTGTGATCTAGCTCTTAATTTTCTGTCTTAGTATGTTTGATTTAAAATAGTATTAAATTATTTGTGATTAAAGTTTATTTTTAGGAAATCTTTTCTTCAGTTTTTAGTAGCTGTTTCCTCTCACTACTTAGAGTTGTTTATCTTAGACATGTGTACTCATTTCCTGAAGAACACCGTTTTATGTGCCTATATTGTTACCTTTTCCCCATTTATAAATTAAGTCTTTAAAGATTTATTTCTGTGGCTTTGCCTCAATCCTAGGCGTGTTTACATGTCTCCTCAGTTCAGTTAATCTATGATTAATCTTCAGGCTTCACTAAGTCAGCCTCTTAAGTGATTTTTTTCTGAAAATATCTGCAGATGGCAGGCTTTAAAGAATTTTCAAGTCATAGGTAAATAGTGAAATGATGTAAATGGAAAGAGTTAAGGAAAAAAAAAGACTGTAGGTGATCATGAACTTAGTTCCTAATTGGTTTCTGGTCAGGGGTGGCAAATAGACTAGCCAGAAGTCATTTATTTCCTGAAGATTTCATTAGTTAAAACAAGGAAACCCATTTCAGTCATACAAATAGGAAAATTCATCATGAAACAGTATAGTACAATGTTCAAATATGGTTTTACAAATATTTATTATAAAGAACCAAAATTTAACATAAAAGATTACTTTTGAAAGTTTCCTTTCTGCTGGAGTGTGGCCCAGAATGGACTGGCTAGGCCTTAAAATCTGAGCTCACTGAAGTTTTGATTGGAATCACCATTTCATAGATTTCAGGGATCTTTAAACTATTTAAGTATAAGTTATCTTTCTGAAGTTTTCCTGGTTAACTTCTTTGACTGCCTCTGAAATTCTTTGGTAAATCATGGGGGGAGGAAAGCAATTTCTTCAATTATATTTCCTTTTTTAGTATGTCTTTTACTTGCTTTTTTATAACCAAGTGTCATACTTCCTCCCCTTACAGGTGTACCTTTGCAAAGGCAGCCACTTTCTTTTAAGTCCTGTGTGGTCATTTATAAGTGTCTGTGGCTTTCCTCTTCATTGATAGCACTGTTTTCCTAGAAATTTGGTTAGAACTTATCACTGTGTCAGTCATTCCTGATAGCTCCTCCCCTATATCTTGATACTGTACTCATTACCATGTCGTCTCCTGAAGCTTCACATCGTCCTTGCTCTTGTGGAGACCTTCTTCCTTAAACATTTCACTGTGGCTCTTCTTGGTCTTTGGAAGAGGTTTAAATCATTGACTCTTGACTCTAACAGACTCAGCACTCCTTTTTGTAGTCTATAGTTAACTATTCTAAAGTGAAATTCATAAATAACATAACCTACCTATACTCAAACATTAATATAATGTCTTAATCATAAAAGGAGTAATGGGAAAGTAGTTTATTATAAAACAATGTGAAAAACAGTGGTGTTCAGATTTTGCATCTATTTATAATGAGTAAGTCTGGATTTAAAGTAAAAAAGATGAAAACACATTCTGTATCAAAAGTATAAGAAAATGAAAGAGCAGAATTATTAGTGGACATTAAAATAAAAACTAGTGGTAGGATAAGGAATAACAGGCCACATGTATTTAAGTATGATAAGAGAAATAACTTTACTTTCAGGCTACTGACTGAGAAAAAAGGAAGTATGATATTCTTGCAGGTGAGCTGGCCCTATAACAGAGTGTCACAATAATTCTTTATGTAATAATGTGGGATGGTTTAGTTACTTAGTATTACACAACATTATTTTTGAACATTATATTGCATGTGAAAGAAATAGAGGTAGAGGATGAATTGGGAAAAGAAACATTAATAGATGAAGCCATAGAAAATTTGTTGAATGGACTTTTGGGGAGAATATTAGAGCAAGATTGAAAAGTAATGTCAACGTGTCATTTTCACAACATAAATTGCCTTTTGTGCCATACGAAAAAAGGATGACATTCTAAAAGAACATGAAGCATGTTAACAACAAAATTATGAATGAAATTCTGTGACATCCTCATGTTTTGTGTATCTGCTAATTGCTGGCGTAATGACACTTAGTTCTAGGACTATTAAAACAATCTTCATTCTTAGTTACATGCTATGCAAAACTACACATGTGCAGGGATATGGTTTGGGCAGCTCAGGGGTGGCAGCTGGAATTGCCATTATGCTCTGATTCCCCGATGTCCTTCCCCGCCAAATCATGAGTAACTCTAGGTAAAATTTTCAACGAAATAAAGTACAGCCTTCCTTCAATTTACATATCAGTTGTATTCCTAGAATATCCTGTATCTATTAAAACTGTGTAAAAAATAGTTAATGTTTAAAACAGTTAGCTTTTAGGTTCACTATTTTTTAACCTATATAACCATGCACTGGGACATTTAAAAGTCTTGCAACAATTTTTTGTGGAGTCTGGCTATTCCATGGATTGCAGAGTATCTAATATACCTGGCTTTTAATCACTAAAGTTCCGTTGAGTCCTCCCCAGTAATCGTGATAATTAAAAATGTCCCATACATTCCAAAATGCTCCCTGCATGTGATTAGGAGGCTTATGGATTTGCTATCTCCTCATCCATGCAAGTTAAAGTTCCTGCCTCAGTAATCAGTCCCTCCTGTTTTCTTATCGTTGGTCCAGCATTTTTTGCCTTCTTTTTTCCTGTTTTTAATTCTATAAGATACCGGTCTTTTAGTTTCCAAACCAGTATTCTTTTACCTTTACCAGTGCTTCTCAAACTGTCCATTTAATACTCCTTCCCTTTTCCAAAGGTGTTTCCTGAAAGGTGTGTGAGACATTTCTTGGAATTTTTACATTTTATCTTGAACATTCATATTTGTTGTATTAGGCTTATTAAGTAGTGTTTTCATAAGTAAAAATTTCTTCCCTATATATCTCTTGACTAAAATTGATGCTCCAAGAAGATGAACTGTATTGGTCTAGTGGCTTGGAGTACTCACATTCAGGACTGTGTACCTCTGTTGAAAGGAGTATGTGTTGTGAAGTACAGCTCTGTTGATGCAGCCTTTTTTAACAGTAATGCGTTGTTCCAGTGTGAAGGGGTCAGAAAGAATACTGGGCATCTGGAACTATTTTTGAGGGGGCTCTTTCTTGGTAAGAGGCAGCACCGTAGGACAAAATTAGAAACTTAATGTCTGTTTAAAAAAAAAAGTAGAAAAAAATTGTGCTTAAAATATTTTTCAGGACTATAATTAATTTTTTATTCATTTTCTCCAATTTTCTATAATCTTTTTACTGTTATCATCATATATTTACCTCTCCTTTTGAAAGGAGTACCTGTTACCATATTTCCATTCTGGTCACACTGTATTTTTTTATTTAACATTAAAAGATTTTCATATTCTTTGGTTCTTAGACTTTCTTCATCTCACTTGCATTGGTTTTAATATCAGAGAAATCTGATGGTTCTTACGCAGTCATGTTAGAGACACTAGTTGGAGAGCCATACAATAACACTTAACTACTTATTGTTCCTCACAGCTAGTCTCTGTCCACTGAATTTCAAAGACGGAACCATTTAAAACATTTTAAAGTTTATTTTTCTACTTAAGGTGCTGTTTAGTTACAGTAGTGTAACTACTAGTGTTTATAGACAAGGGATAAAATACGACTTTTTACAAACATTTTCTTTGAGAAAACCCCTTAAAGGGCCTTTTAAATATGTCATGCTTTTGAATTGGTATTTTGTTTTCGAGTATTTTCATCTTAGATGCATTCTGACACATTTTGAAACAGTTTTGTCAGCTGACTGCATGTGTTCATACTATTTTTAGAATACTATTTTTATAATCAAAAGTGAAAGATTGCTTCATTTGTTAACTGTTTGCCTTTCAGGACCTAACTTCATGGTCCTTATATACTTGTCTTTATTGAAACCACTGCTTAGAGTGCCATGCATTTCAATATGATTTTGAAAGCTGGTTCCATTGTTTGGCTGAAGGATTATTAAACTTTCTTCTTTCCCTTACCTTCTTCTCCCCTCTTCCCCTTTGTTTCTTTTCCCCCTTCTTTCCTCCTCCTTTCTGTCTTTTTGCCTCAGGGGAAAAAGACATTTTTATTCTCATCTGTTTCAAATTTGTGCTGGAGAAATTGTAGGATTTTTTTATTCAATAGAAAAATTAACATTGGAAAGACTCTAGGTAGTTATGAACTTGATACTAGCAACATAAGAATTTTATTGTTTACTTTGTAAAAGAAGCATTTGAATCTTACGGATGTGGTTTTATTTTATAAAGCAATGTCCCCCACACTTAACTGGAGTTAGCATATTTATGCAAGTTACAATATGGACAGCCCACTTAAGGAAGGGTGCTGCTACTAAGAAAATGTGAGGGAAATATGCATTGATCAGTTTTTACAAATGGGCATGGAAAATTCATATTTGAATTGCCATGTATGTAAATTAGTCTTATGATTGATTTAGTTTTTGTGGTTTTTTGGTCTTTTAAAGGTTTACATATTTGCACCATGAGTAACTTGGACCTAGGTAACTCATTTACCTTTAAAAAATTTTTTTAAGTGTCTATTTCTCTTTCATATATACTGTTCTAAGGGGATACTATAGTATTACGCTCTTTCACTTTTCATATTAATCTGCCTCTGGAGAAATACGGTATTTCCCTTCTCTGGTCCTTGTTCTTGATGGCATTTGTTTCTCTATTGATCTATCAAAGGATCATTTGAATGTTTGCTCTTACGGATAAGATACAGTTAAATCCTTTGTTCCTCCGTCAATAGGTGGAAACGACATGTTCCTAACCTCTACTGGGGGTTACTTGATACATGTGGCCACATTTCTAAGCTTAAGTTACTAGCAGCACCTCAAGAATGATCTCTACCTACAGAATTTAATATGATAATGAAATGATGAAAGCAATTTCTCTGAGGACCTGTTGAAGTTTAAAATAGTTTAGTTATTTTGTTAATAAACAATAATTATAGTATTTGCAGTGATTTCTAATAAGGGATTTGAGGAACATTCTGTTTGTTTGTTTTTTTTTTAACATTCTGCTTTTATTTGGAAATTAGAGAATAAGTGGTTGATTTATTAATTTTTATTCATGACTTTGCTGGTGTTTCTTCCAAAAGTTGTGCTTCAATGATCTTTCTTTAGAAATTGCTCTTTTTAAAGCAATTTAAAAAAATACTTAGTTCACATTGATCAGGCTAGTCATCACTTCAGCAGTTATGCATGCTCTTTTTACTAGTGGCCAGAATCATTACAATTTCTTAACACTTGCTGTGGAGGCATACTTTTTTCTTAAAGCAATTTTAATGAAAAACCAGTGTTAATGCTACATTGCTGATGAAGGTGTTACACTTTATTTATAGTTTTCTTAGGGTTAAATTATCTTGACCCTAATTTTGTGTGAAGTTGCTGTGAAAAATGAGTACTTGCTGGTTTAACTAAGCAGTATTCAGTTTTGAAAGCTTAGATATGAGATGAATAGTGTTTGACGTAGCTGATAGTGGATTTGTTTAAATTTAGAAAAAAACAGGTAAAAATGGATACATTAAATTATAAAGAGGTTGTGACACAACTATGTAGAATGTACCAGTGTTAAGTTTCCCAGTGCATTTATGAAAAAGCAAATACTCTGAAGTTAAATTTTAGATCAAAAATTGTCGAGTGAAGCTGAAAGTACTTCTGGCTATGGGCAGTCCATACTGCTCTCATCTGGAAAGTATCATTTGCTGCACATTTTTCTGGTTTATAAGTGAATATTGTCCTGACAGGTAAGGCTAAGATGGTGGGAAGCATAAACCTCCAGGTTTACATAACTAGAGTAACTGGAGGTTAAGACTTTTGGCTTTCCTCGGGCTTCTCTGCTACATATTTGGCATTTACTTATTAATGTCATCTTAAGGACTCACAAAGAATGTCATCATAAGGAAATTGCATCCCAGAGAAGAAAAGTCACACCGAGTCATTTGTTGAAACTGGGGCAAGAACTTACTTTCTGCTCTGATAGAGTGGCAATTGGGAGAGGAATTTCCTATTTTTGATACGATTTCCTAAACATAAATTAATAGCTGCTTAGTGGCAGTAGAATAAATGTAAAAGCAAAATGTATACAAAATTTTAGTTTTTGAGAAGATTGAAAATACAATTTATTTTGGTTAAATGTGAAATAATTATAGTTAACATTTATTGTGCTTAATTCTGGGCCGGGTGACTGCTTTCTTTACATTATCTCATTTAATTTTTGTAACAGCCTTATGAGACGTAGGTATTACTGCTCTTACATAGATGGGAGGCTGTAATACTGCTCTGCTAGTAAATAGCCGGACTGACTCTGAGCCCAAGCTATGAACCATTCATTACGTGATGATATACTGTGGCTTTCTTTTCAACTTAACATACCTTTACTAAGAGAAGATCGGGTATGAGTAAACCCACCAAGCTTAGACCCTCTAGATTCCTTTTGACTTTTTAAAAAAGTGTTTTGAACTGTTATCACTTTAACATTAGAAATTTCCAACAGTCGGAAAAGTATTTAGTGATTATTCACTCCCTCTAAAAATTAGTGAAATATAGTCCAGTAGCATCTAGCCTTAACCTTTTATTTTATTTTTAAACAGAAACATTGTTTCCTTCATCATGAGAGATTACAAGAATCACAAAAGGTCACTATACAGATATCACAGGTTAGAGAGATTGTACCCTTTTCTGGATAAAGAGCATAAATCCAATGGCACAGGCCTTATGTATAAGGAGGGGTTGAAATTGACTTTATCTAGATAAACTAAATCACATTCGTACACACCTTATTCCTCTAATGAGTGAAGTGACAGCTTTCAGGTCTTATAATTAACCTCCTGTTCTGAAAAGTGAAGGGAACTGGAGAAAACATACAGCTATGCAGCCTTTTATAACTTGCTTTCTAGAATCATTTTTGACATTATATGAAAGTTTGTTGGTAGAGAAGTGAACCAGTGAAAATAGCAGGTTTTCTGTGTTGTACTCTCAAGTGAGTTGTCACAAAAACAGTTTCAAATAAATGTAAAGTTAACATGAACACAAACCTTAGGAACTAGTAGAAATTATAGATCTTCTGCTTGTTTCCTTGGACCATAAGTTTACCATTTTAGAATTATCTTTTTTAAAGTCTGTATTTAAGTTGATCTGTTATTTTGTTTGGAACTAGATGTATCTTCAAATTAACCTATGAATTCTGAAGTTTGCTTCTAAGTGGGGTTCTTTGGTCCAACTAAAAAAAATCCAAAGATTGCTGCTCTTCGTTGCCCTAATAGAAATGTTTGTTGAACTTTGTAAATAAATAAATATATAAATATAAATAAACATATAACCTTGTTATAAGCACTGTGGAAATGACCAGAAGTAAAAGTCATACTCACAGTCTCAGGGAGTTTTAAATGTAGTTGGAGAGAAGCTGCCCACCCCATCCCCACCCCCCTTTTAACTAGGCAAACTTAGATGTTTCCTAAATTAAACTCTTTCTGAATTGCTTAGCTTTTTTTGTGAGAGAAAGTAAAAATCTCTCTTTGATAATCAAAAAATGCTCCATGATGGCTCTCTGGCCATGTGGTCATCTTTTTTATTTTAGAATTACCTGATGAGTTATAGCCCAGTTTCCTGTTCAGTTAATTTTTTTCTGAGTAGTTTTGAAACTAAAGAGGATTCCTACAGCTTCAAGTAATTATAGTTTTCTCTCCTGGTTGTATAATACATTGATTACTTGTGCTGAATTTAGATTGTGTTATTCCTTAGAATTTCTTTGCAAATTAGTTCTTAAGCTTTCAGAGAAGCTGGATAGACTTCTGGCTTTTAAGAATTTCAGGAAGCTTAACGAAAAAGTGTCGGATGGAAGCACTGCCTGAAAATTACCCCTTTCCCCCATAATTGTTCTTCCTGAGATTTGGGGACTTGTTTTATTTTTACCTGTATACATCATACTGTAAGTAGTCACATTTACTTTAAAATTCCAGTTCAGAATTACTTGATGCCCCCTTTGTTTTGTTTATTTGCATTTGACCTCTTTGACTCTGGTCTAGTTACTATTTTAAATATTCCATTCTGGTGATGTGTTTAAACCAGTCCACACTGGCCATTTCATTAGAATAGAAATATTTATTGTAAGTTCATGTACAATTATTTGTTTTCCTAAATTCACTTGAGCCACCTACAAGTTGAAAAATAAGTTACAGCTTTTAATGTTCTTTGACTAACTTAACTAGCTGGTCAAAAAAGGTAGCTGTTGCTTACTTTGATAATTGTTTCTGACAGTTGCTGATAGAAGCACACCAGACTTTGTCTACTGTTTGTGTTTAGAGTAACAGCACTTTAATAATGAAAATTTAAAATTAGTATTTGAAGTTTTAAGCCACTGAACATACTTCTTGATGTGTTATAAGTATGGTCATTGCTACGCACTTTGTAAAGATTGAAAATCATTTGCCCCTTTTCCAGTTTCCTTCCCGTTAGTTCATAGCATAGAGTAAGCAAAATGAGGGCAAAGGAAAGAACAGATTATGGTTTAGGTAGTTAATCCTTACAGTTTTGTGTATATGAAAGAGAAGTGTTAGTGATTGCATGTACACAGATAATATCTAAGTTTATGAGCTTATCTTAGAGATAATTTTTAATTGAATTAGATCTGTTCTTAAAATATACCAACCTAATTTATCAAATGGCTTTTCCTCCCTAGTTCTGTAGAAAATGTTCTCAAAACACTCGTGAAAAGCTGCCGACCGTAAGTAGCTCCTCAATTTATAAAGCCTCTTACTGTTTCTTTGGGCCTTTCCCCATCTTTAGTATGCTTTGAAGAGGAAATTAAAGATATAAATAGTTTCTGACATGGTGATGTTAGTCACTGGGCACAAAATATCATTTCCAACCCTTGAACTGAACTTTTCAGATTTCATTTATAAATTTAGAAATTTTCAAGTGGTGTGGGTGTCAGTCACCCATTATAAAGTAAGAAGGTCAATTTATCCATAATCATCTTTGTTTGAAAGGTTTTCCTATGACTATGATTAGATTTCCTATGATTATTTTTAAAATTAAACATTTTTTGTATATAAATTTTTATTGAAGTATAGTCAGTTTACAATGTTGTGTCAGTTTCTGATGTACAGCATAATGCTTCAGCCATACATGAACATACATATATTTGTTTTTATTCTGTGATTATGATTAGAGTATGATTACTCAGATAAAAAATATTTCCCAAAATAAGTGTTGTAGGTATTGTATTAAAATGAAAAATAACAAGGAAGTGTCTTGTAAATTTTTTCCTAGTATTTTTCTCTCTCAGTAGAATATTTGACTTTAAAAAACCATATTCTGATGTTTAAAGGTGAATGTGGACATAGCTTATTTTTAATTAAAGTCTAGTCCTGGGGACTTGAACTGTTTTTCATTTTTGTTTGTCAGGCTGTTCTAAGACTACTTACTCTGCTATGGATGCAGTGAATTCTGTTGAATGGAAATTCATATATTTACCATATGCTTGTAATATGAGTTAAAATTATTTTAGAGATCAGCTATTTACTGCTGACCTACTATACTGCTTAGTCTTGGGCAAATGTATTTTCAATATATAAAATTTCCTTTTTAAGAGGCTTAAGATCTAACCTGAGTTATCATCAATGAGGTGCCTACTGGGTTTTAGGTTTTAGGAAATTCATAGAATGCCCAAGCTTTTATTTTGGATTCTGACTCTGAAAAATCAGGAAGTTGACAGTTGACTCTGAAAAATTAGGAAGGGTAATTGATGTATGAGATCTTTGAAGGCAGAATATGTTCTGCTTTTTTTTTCTTAATTTTAACTTGTTGCACAATAATCTGGTACATAAATCCTTGATGAACTCGACAGAAGTATTACTAGAAATGTAATTTTATTTTTCAGGTGACAGAATGAAGTGTGGTTCTCACAACATAGATATATAAAGATATAATAAGATAAAAATATGATGTGTAGGCCAAACCTATGCATGTATTTGAAAAGGTTTCCTAACTTTTTTGACATACCCAAATCAAAGGTTTTCTTATGCTTTTTGTTATTTTAATCCCCTTAGTGGGTGTTTGATAATTATACATTGGTCCTCTTTATCTATTTACCTTTGTTTTGTTTATGTCTGCATTCTTCAGATTTTACTTTTTTAAAATTTTCTGTGTCCCAGGAATATTCTTGCCCATTTCCTAGAATTTTATAATGTGACAGCCTGTAGAACCAGATCATCTAGTCCAGTCCTCTCTTGTGTCCATCTCAGAGGTCTCTGCGGCCTGTCAAGGGTAGTTTGTTCCCAAGGTGACTAGAGAGTTTTGGGCTGTTGTTCTCTTTCTTACTTCCCTGATTATCCATTTCTTTATTAGACTAGATTCCGTATGGCAAGATTTTTTTTTCTACTACTGTTACACAGCACACAGGAAGAAACTTCAATCATGTTTACATTTCTAGATGATTTGAGTGACTTTGTATTTTATCTGCAGTTTATCAACTTTATAACATTTTTCCAAGTCCATAGACAAGAAAAAAATTTACCTTTTCTTAAGTAGGACAGGCTACTTATTTTAGAGTTGTAAAAATGTGTTTCTTGTAGGCTAACTTGACATTTTTAGTGTGTGACGTGTCTTAGGAAGTCCATTCCCCTTCTCCCCTTTTTTGTCAGCCATATTATGACGATGTGGAGCTTTTAGCCAATGATCAGATACATGAAAACCTTCTTTTTTATTAGATATTTTCCAGCAGATGCCACAACTGAGATGCTAGAAGAATGGCGGCCTTTAATGTGCCCTTTTGATGTAACAATGCAAAAGGCCATCACTTATTTTGAAATATTTCTTCCTACCTCCCTTCCTCCAGAACTTCATCATAAAGGTTTTAAGTAAGTATATACATATCTTGACAAATTCTAGAATACAGCAGGGAATACAGATGTGTGTGTGTATATGTGTCTGTCTATATGTGTGTGTGTGTGTGTGTGTGTGTGTGTATATATATGCAAACTAGTAAAGCAATAATAAGTAACAAAAAATTTACTAACTCAACCATTATGTTTATTATTCTTGAAGTGTTGAAGGCTAAAACTGTTTAACATAATATTGCATATAAAGAGAATAATGCTTGTATGTTAAGCCAAGTAAGTGAAGGCTTTAATTAAGAAACAGGGAAAGGATAATAAATGCAAAAAAGAGTTGAAAATGTCAATAAATAGACTGTGATAAAAATGTTAAAATTGCATAGAGAGAAAGGAAAAGTGTTTTTCTAAAACTTGGTTTTAACTCTTAATCATGTGTAGTTTTTCTTGAGTCTTTTTTTATTTTTTATTCTAGTGTGCACCGTTTTTAAGAACTAATTTTTCCTCAGATGATTGTAGATATATAATAAATCCTAGAATGAAAAATACTTATATTGTACTTTTGTTAAAAAAAAAGTAGAAGGTATGAAACAGACTGGAAGGATAATAGTAATTATGAATATATTGTGGGTTCGTGCTTAGTCACCCAGCCCCCAGCATGTTTCCTATAGTGAGATGCCAAATCCTTTATTTCTGTCATATTAGAAATTTTGTATATAGCTATATATTTGTAAAATTTTAATTAAAATCTTCTAAGATTTCTTTGACATTTGTAAAGATTGGTTAGTAATAGTCAAACATTTTCTTGCCCCTGTATTTTCTTCTATTTCTTTAATTTGAAATAGTTTCCCTCACTATAATTGCTCCTAATGCTTTGTGGCTCATTTCTTTTGTGGAACATTTACTGTAGTGCTAGTTAATGGCATAATTACTAATTGGCCTATTAAAGAAAAGAAAGTAAGGGAGGAACAGGCAGTAACAGGAAAACATTAAAGGAGAAAGGCGGAGAGAGGAAGGAGAAACTCAGAAAGCAGTGTTATATAAGGGTGGACAGTTATTTACCAATGAAGTAGAAATTTGGTGAGATGATTCTTTTTAGCATAAATAAATTGAAAAGGGAATATTCAGACAGAAGTAGCCCCTCATTCTGTTGTTTGTAACTTTCAGTATTGTTTTTTTCTAGATTGTGTAGTTATCAGTAAGAATAATAGATTAAAAAATACAAAGGATACCTGACTTTGAACCACTTTCTATAAATCACTTGCTATTCATAACATTTTTCTCCTTCAGACTTTGGTTTGATGAATTAATTGGCCTTTGGGTTTCAGTACAAAATCTCCCACAGTGGGAGGGGGTGAGTATCCCATTTTTTCTTCTATACTTTTTAGTTTGAAAATAAATATGTCAGATCATTTGATAAGTCACTTCAGTTCCTTAGAATTGGCTGTTAACAATGTTGTCATCAGTTTTTAAAAATTTTATTTGCTGTGTTCTAAGAGAAGTAGACATTTCTTTATTTTGGTTTTTTATTAATGTCTGGTTGTATATGCATGTACTGTGAAATGCATGAAGAGTAAGTCCCTGTTTGTTTCCTTTTGTACCCTCATTCCCATGGTGCTGGACTTCTGGTGGATGTTTTCAACGTGTGTTTAATTAAAACTTCTTACTCTGTTTGCATTGTGGATGATGCTTTGTCATTGCCCTTTTTAATGAGCATTTCAACTGCAATTGATTTTAAATGAGTGGCAAGAATCAGAACATAAATTTGAGGTTTAAACAAACTGGGTCATAAATCAAATACTAAATTCATTTGTGCCAATAGTGATTGTTCTGAAAAGAAAAAATGGATAGAATGGGACTATGATGCTTTAAAAACAGCAAAGTGCTTACTTAACTCTTTTTTGTTTGTTTGTTTACTTTCAGCAACTAGTAAATCTCTTTGCTCGGTTGGCTACAGATAATATAGGGTACATAGATTGGGATCCGTATGTACCAAAGGTAATAAGAACATTTGAACATACACAACAGCACTGACATCATCTTTACGTCTTTAAGGAGAAATGTGTTTTGTATGCTTAATTTATAGCACTGCATAAAATACTTTTTGACCATTAGTAAAAACATGTAATTTATAAGGATGGACCATTTATTTTCAAAAAGTAATTGAGTCATATCAAGCTATCATAAATGCGTGATTTTTGTCTTACCTTTGCAGGACATGAAGTATAAGTTTCAGAGTGAGTGTCTTAGAAGATGCTAAGAATGTTATTCAGGGTATCATACATTCTTCCCTTTCAACAACTTTTGTGTATTTGATTGCTCTTCTAGAGTGTTTCCCACTTTTTAGATCACAGTGTATACTTTCCTGGAGTAAACAGAGCTTGGAGAATGTCTCTAGGTGCAGTGCATCTTCCGTATGGTTTCACTTGTGGTAGAATCACCTGTGGAACCTCTGGAGGGCCACTGTAGGGCATCCAGAGGTGGTTCTGATGCGTACGTGGATAGTAGAGCAGGGCTGGGGAGCAGCAGAAGGCAGATGCTCGGATGGCCTTTGCTTGTGCTGTCTTCCTTTGTTGCTGGCCAAGAGAAATAAGGAGGAGAAGTAGATTTCCCCCACCATTAGCCTTCATTATCTGACATGTAGTGACAGATTTGAAATATAAATCTAATTGTATTAAAATGCAATTATTTAATGACAGATTAAAATGTAAATTCTTACACAGAAAAATCAAGTCGCTGCTAAAATTTTGAGAGAGAAAGTAATTGGTTAGAAGATATTTGTGTTTTGTGCATTCTTGGATTGAAATAAGAACATAGGAAAAATAGTTTGATATGCATTTAGAGAGAAAGGAGTCAAAATGTATCACATTTAACTGCAGTTACCTACATTTTGCCATTTTATGTTTGCCTATGTCTCATCTGTCTGTTTTTGGGTACATGGATATGAATGCTTCATAACCACATGCCTGTGACCTCAGTGTCATTTAAAAAAGTATACAGATACTTAAATGTAATTTTTAATGAATAAAGCAGATTACAAGCAGTATGTCATTTTGCTTAAAAACTGATAAAGTGAGAATACATCCAATAACACTAATATATGAAAGAGCTATTTGATATATGTAAATATTTATTAATTTTTTCTTTTCTTTTTAAAGATATTTACAAGAATTCTGAGAAGCTTGAACCTCCCAGTGGGAAGCAGTCAAGTGTTAGTCCCAAGATTTTTGACAAATGCTTATGATATAGGACATGCTGTAATATGGATCACTGCCATGATGGTTTGTAATGCATTCTGTTTGTTTTGTATAGTTCATCTAAATTTCGTGTTAACCATATAAAAGTTCTGCAGAATTGCTTAAGTCTAGGTTAATGGCTTAGTTGGCCACTTGATTCTTGGATATTTTCTGATGTAGTAAGCTTATGTTTATGTAGTAGTCATACTACGTAAACTACATTCATACTACTATATAGAATGTAGTCATAAAGGACCATTTATAAATCTCCTTAACCAATGGACCTTAAAAATAAGAGTCAAAAAAAGTTCAGAGTCTTGATTACTGTGATCATTTTGTAATGTATAGAAATACCGGATTGCTATGTACACCTGGACACAGTTATACCATAGATTAATTATACTTAAATTTTTTAAAAAGGAGTCTGGGATTTAGAGTTTTAAGAGATTCAGAATGTCTGTAATAGTTTTATAGACCATGAACCAGGGTCATAGATAAAAGGATTTTCCCAAGTCAGATTGATAATTGATAATGATCAAGGTGGGATTTGAACTCGGGGTTCTGCATATGCTCCGTATTAATGCATTTATTGTCAGTGTTCACATAAAACATTACACTGAACACAAAGCTTATTGACGAAGTAATCTTAGTGAAGGGAGAAGTATGAAGAATTATTTTACTGACATCCTTGAAGGAAAGTAAAGATATATCTGCATACTTGGATTTCAATGTCATCTTTCAAATAAGAGTATTAGAATGACTTTATACTATAATTTTCTGGATTGTCATTCATATTCTTCTATTGTTATCTCCTTTCTGAATAATTCTGCACTTGATCTGTGATACTGTTCTGTGTTTCCTATTTTCTCCTTGGTTATATTTTTGCTTGGTTGTTTCTGTGAGAAAGACATAATGTGAGAAGCTTAGCTCTTAAATGTCATTATAAATTAAAAGAAAAAAAATTCAAGCTCCTCTTGTTTTTGCTATTTCATTATTAAATAGGGAAAATCCCATTTTCTTTCTGATATTCAATAAGAGCAAAAACATCTGGATATTTATGATCTTACATAAGCAATGAGCTAGAACTTGTGTTTTAGGAGCCACAAAATTAGTGATTGGCATCAGCCTTGTTTAGTTAATGTTGCTGCTTTTTCTCACAGTTTTTCTTGTTGGCAGCTTGATGTTGTGTTAAAATATGAATATTTAATATAATAAATCTACAGTGTTAATTATGTTAGAATTTTGTCGGTATTTGGGTCTAGAATTATGGTCTAAATTGGGATGCGAACATGGATTTCATTTCAGCAGAAAGACGTGTTCCCAATTAATTTGATAATATACCTTAGGTCTGTGCAGTTTTTTTTTTTTATTTAAAATAGAGTTGACCAATATTAATATGTTAGTTTTAAATATACTACATTGTGATTTGACATTTGCATACATTATGAATCTATA